TTTTTTTTTTTTTTTTTTTTTTTTTTTTTTTTTTTTTTTTTTTTTAATATAAGAGATATTTTAAAATTCCAATTAATTAATAAATTTGGATAATCTGAGACATAAAATAAGTTTTATTTATTTATTGTTTTGAATGTCCTAAGAACAATGAATGGCGTTTGAGATATAAAATTAATTGTTAAGGCTCCTTTGATATATATATATATATATATATTTTTTTTTTTTTAGTTTTAGAAAATTGTGTTTTTTATTTGACCATATTTATTATTTGGACAAAATTATAAATTTTACTTCTTTTTCTCTCTCTTTTTTCTTTTTTTATAACACCTAACGTAAAACTTTATTTAATTTATTGTCTTTTAGTTAATTGTGTATGGGTTACCTAAATTGATTATAACATCAATTTTGATTTTTTTTTTCAGATATTTGTATAAGAAGAGAAAAATAGAAATTCATTTCCAGTATTTTATGATTATTTTGAAAGGCCAAAATAGGTTAGAAAGTGATAGGTAACGGACAACAAAATTTTTAATAATTTAAAGTAAATTTTACAAGTTCATATACCTTTTTTTAGATATAAAATTAGGCATGCTTAAAAATTGCATATATTCTATATTAAAAAATAAGTTTACAACTTCAAAAAATAATTTAATTAAATTTATTTTTCCAAAAACAAATAAATTAAAAAAATAGAAATGTTCGCCGTCTGTGGGGATCGAACCCACGACCACGTGGTTAAAAGCCACGCGCTCTACCACTGAGCTAAGACGGCTTACACGATATGATTTATAAACAAATATAATAATTATTTAATATATTCCCTCCACACTTCCACTCATTTTATAGATTCTTAAAAAAAAATAAAGCTTAAACCTACGAATTTGCTAATTATGATTTGGATAACATCTAAGCTCTTTAATCTAATTATTTTGCTAGATAGTAGTTATGCCTTTAATCTAAGCTTTTTAAGGTTGAGTGACGGCTTCGCCCTAAGTGCAGCTCTTTCTGCTCATAGCAACAGTATGAAAAGCGGATTAATCGTATTCTAGACCGGAACAATGAACCTATTCAACCCCTTACTATTAGAGGAAAAACGGAACCTAGATAATAATTTTTATTTTATATGTTAAACTATGATCTAGTAGAATTTTGGTATCACTTATTTACTCTTTACAATAATTTGATATAATTATTAAACGTAAGAGAAGTTAATCATTTTTATTTAAATATGGAAAGCTTAGCCCTCAATTCAGATATAAAGGAACTTCGTGAGCTTATATTTATAGTGAATAAAAAAATAATTAGATTAACTAGAATTTCACAAATGATCTAAATTCAATCAAGCTCTCCAACCCAAGAAAAATGATCATAAACTACACCGCAGCTTTGTCGGTACACAATGCAAGTTGAGAGAATAAGCAAAGTCAGAACTCAAAACAGCATAATGCGGAGGAAAGGCTGGTGAAGAACATTATGGAGTGCCACCATCTTATGAGATATCAATACCTTTGTATGGGTATTATATCATGAATGGGACGGGTCACCATCTCACCGACGATGCTGAGTGAGACATCGATGAAGAAGAAGAGCTTGCACAATCCAGAAAACTAGTACAAGGGATTGGATGGTCTACCCTTTGCAATGTTAAAACTTCAAATGAAAGCACAAAGTAAATTGCCCAGATCCTGAAAATCCCAACACTAGGAACATCTAACAAGATACAATCTTGGAATTTTCTAACTTGAGACTAACAAATCTTACATGTTAGAAACGAAGGTTTACATCATCTAGAAAATTCATCTACCATGTCTTGGTGAAGCATCAGCAGAGCGGGATCGGGACCCGGAAGGAGACCTTGATGTTCTACCAGGAGAAGACCTCCAGTCAGCTCGTGCATCCTCTCCTTCAAATGCAGGCTTGCTAAAGAAAAAATAGGATTGACAAATAAATAAAGCAGAACAGGACGCACTTTTATAGTAGCATAGTAAACAAAGATGAGAAAATTAAGTTTAAGCGAACTGAAAGTGAACATTCTCAATAATGAGACTAGCATATGCTATAAGCAATGCATGCAAAAACACAGAAACAAGAAAACACTAAAACTAGCTGCATATTGAGGTGCTCCCAAAAAGCAACAAGCCATCGGTAAATCATTCAACTTACTCATGATATCCATTTCCATCGTGATCGTGACCACCAGCATTATCATAACCTGGAGAATATACTTGATGACTCCTCTCACCATCTCGCTCACGAGGAGCACCTCTTGGTGATCTGGGGTAGTCTGCATGACGCCTATCGGGGGAAAGAGAATAGTTGCCTCGCCATCTCGGAGCAGGAGAGTATGACCTGGCAATTGCATTTGGCACCTTTACTACCAAAACCATAAATAAAAGATGGAACATTCTGTTTTAAATAGATTACCTTGATCGATATCTACTTGAACCTGAAGGACGATGGGGGGAGCGTGATCGAGACACTGAACGAGATCTAGAACGCCCTATATTGTCAACAAAAAAAAAATCATGATCAATTACATCCTGAAACTACGCTTTGATCATTGAACACAGTAATCTAATATGGACATGTTTTGTCTACTACAATAGTTAATGATTGATTTGATTCCAAGCTTTAGTGTGTGTTCTACAATAATCTATAATATCCACGAACAAATTGAATGTACAAAGTTTTGTATTTTTAATTCAATCAGTTAACAAAACCTGCAAGACGGAAAATTATCAAATTCATAACAAACGAGCTGCAATTAGGCTCACAGAAACAAAAGAATTATTATAGGCTTACATTTACACCTAATAAAAGCTACATGGGGATGCCCATATGGGAACAAAAGGTTTAGAGACAATATATCCACATAAAAGCATCAAACTAGGGGCGGGGGGGAATGTTTGAAGGATCGATCAAAAACCAAAATTCCTCAGGATGTAGCATGTGAGGAACTTCTCAGTTCATTTCACACAAAAAAAAAGGCCCATATAAAGGATATTATATGACCACTGAACTTAGAGCTTATAAATAAGCTCGATTGCTTGGGTTGTTACATAAATAACCAATCCTAAATCTTTAGATAAGTCAAAGAACAACCTAACATGTTAGAAATATATCCCATATACTACAGATCATCAATAGCTGCTACAAGCTGTTGTGTCCAAGAGTTCCATAACAAGAAGTAATGTTATACTCTTCTTTTCTTGAAAAATCTAGAAGTAGAAGTAACATGAACTAGAAAAATGAGAAAAATTCATAAGAGATCTTCTCACTGAACTAATTTTGGTTGGAGTACTCATTTACATATAAAGATTATTTAAAAGAAGACACATCAAATTTGAAGAGAGACTACTGTACCCATACCATAATAAGAACGCCGTCCACCATAGCCAGATGGTCCCCTACAGAAAGGGAAAATAGAATAGTAAAGCATAAGTAACTCGCAACTAAATAAAAATCGTAAAAGATTACTTTCCATTGAACACAGTGAATGAAGAATGAAAAAACAGGAGTTTTGGATTGTAAAAATAAGATGGATTACTTTCAGTTTAACAGAATGTCAGGTGGATTGTAAAATTATACTCTTGAAAGAATGGAGAAAAAGAGGTAACTGAGAATACACAAACTACCTTCTACTCCTTTGACGCATCTGTTCTGGCCTCTTCCTCGACTCTGCAGCAAGGACCACAGTAATCTCCCTACCAGCAAATTTTTTCCCATTCATATGATACTGAGCTTCAGAGGCCTCATAAGGATCAACAAACTCCACAAACGCAAATCCTCGTGGATCACTGCAAAGAATTCAAACAAAATGCTTATGATAAAAAGAAGAAACTAATTCTGGACAAAAATATTGGGTAAAGACTGAATCATCACATTAGTATTATTTTCATGCCTAAAAGGATTCAGGGAGCCATAAACTAAATAGCTTTCTTTTCATATCCAATATTAGCTTCAGACAGCTTCCTTCAAAGCTGAGGCTGAAGTTATATAAAGCAGCTGATTTCAAAGTTTAGTAGCTAACCTTCTCTTTACAATCAAGCATGAAAGAGGCAAGAGACTTGAAAAATCTTCATATTCTTGAAACTATAAGCACTTCGTTTCAATGTAACTTGACTTGAAAAATCTTCACATTTCTTGATATAAGTACTTGAAACCAACAATTCATGACTTGAAAATTCTTCAAATACTTGGAAACACACGAAGCACTTGAACAAACATTCCACAACCTTAAAACCTTCACCTTGTTGGCTTCAATTGCTCAAGAATCTATCTTCTTCCTCATCAACTTCTGTTGATGAAGTAATTATCTAAGATCTCCTCAGAGAGAGACACCCTCATTTCGATATTACTCTTTACATTCTTGATGAGCAATATGTTAGGCAGTGAAAAGTAGTACACCCTCATTAATAGGGGCTTGGGCTTGTTTTAACTTCAAAGTTCAAACCAACATACCCCCTGACAAAGCAGTTCAAAATTTAACACACTATGAAATGGGAATAAAATTCACCTAGAAAAAAATAAGGTCTGGTGAAATTTCATTTGACATTTTTCATCCTCTTCATTCCCAAACTATGAATAGCAAACCCAACCGGAAGTTCCATGATATCTAAAAATTCCTCTACAAATTTAGAACTCGGTGCACAAATGTACACCCTCAAGAATTGATCAAGATCAAATAGTTGTAAAAAAAATCCCCTGAAAATTGCATGAGTATTTCATCTTGTGTATGAAGACACGAGTTTTTTCCCCCAGAAAGAAGAAAAATAAAGTTAGAGATTGTTCTGAAAATAGAATCTTGAATTGCAAAAGTGAAAAGCTTTAAACGTACTCCATATATTTCAACTTTCACCATTTATTGGCAAGCTTAGTATTATGACACATGGCAGAGAGCATTAAACAAGAGTGAATGATCGTGCTCAATTTCTAGCGAAAGAGGCTTGGCTTGATGCTTAATCAGTAAATCTAAATCGCCACCTGAACCCTGTTTGAGGTTAATTTTATCAAATCTTTGTGCAACTTGGTGCTCAGAAGTTAAGATATTAACCATAAAAAGACGTGTCCTTACCTAACTCGCAAGGAATGTAAAAGTACACCTTCAGAAATAAAGTTGAATAACAACTAAATAAATCCAATCACATACCATGGTTGGAGCAGTGTGAACAATAAATAAGAAAAATAAACACCAGATGCTTACCCTGTGTAATAATCCTTTGGAATATACACATCTCGCACAAGTCCAAACCTCTCAAATGGAGCTCTAAGCTCCTCTGGCCTGCAAGTACCAATATAACCAGAAGGCAAGTTGTTAAAAATCAGTGAGAGAAAACAACAAATTCCTGAAGTAGAACAGTAGTATTAAAACCAAAATTAGAACAAAGCACTAGGGTAATTGGAAAAGAAAAGAAGGAAAAAAAAAGTGGCCAAATCCTGACCTGCAATCCATAGGAATATTTCTAACCAAAAGGCTACCGTGAGACTGTTCCCTTTGTCTTCCATACCCACCGCCGCCGCCGCCATATCCCCTCCCGGGGGGGCTTCTTCCTCGACCACCATATCCTCTCCTTGGAGGACTATGATATGGTGGACTGTATCTTCTCATGTTTCAACCTATCCAAAACAATACCAGGTAAGGTCAGCAACTAAGATGCATGTCGTCAAAATTTCATATCTATTCAAACCAATAACTTCCTGGCAAAGAAAAATAATAAAAATTAAAATGAAGAACGAATAAAACCAACGAAACCCACACATCATCCTAAACTGATAACAGCTTCGACTGTCATACCCTAAAACACAATTCACAGGCTCAGGTTTCCGATTCGACAGCTAAACCTTTCAACTGCCTGTTTTCAAACTCCAGATAGCTAGGCTACATGAAACATATTAAAGTTTTGAAGATAACAAACCAAGACGAGAAAAGGCATGAAAATCGACTAAATGAATAACGAATCGAGAATGTTCGACGAAGAGGCTCATCTCTACACTTCTCCCAAATTTTTTTCGATGGAAACTGAAAGAGATAATTCAGATGAACAGAAAACCTAAAAAAAAAAACTAATTCCAAACGATCGAAACAAAGAAATTGGGTATAACAACCATTGATAGGTTTCATGTCGGTTTGGGTTCGATCAGGAAATAATGCGAAATCTTCATCTATACATTGAGAAACAAAATAAAGAAACCATAAATCGAAAGTGCATAATTACCAGAAGGAAGGAGACGGAAGACGAGAAAATGCAGAGAGAAATTTTCCCCTCGATCTGATTTCTGTAAGGTCTGGGGACCAAGAAGACTTCGACGGTAGGGTTTAGCATTTTATATCTGCGTTTGTTCAAATGCGAATCTATATAAAAAAAAAATAAAAATAAAAATTAAAGTATAAATTTTGACACCATTTTTCAGGACAAAAAATAATATAATAAATATCATAATTAAATATTTTGGTTCGTTTTATTTTAAATAATGTTTAACATTTTTTTTATGGAATATTATTAAATTTATTATTGTTCTACCTTCTTTTTAATACAACTAGAAAAATGAAAATTATTCATTAAAATATTCTTTTATTTATATATATATACACGTTAATACGTGCTTCAATAAAATTAAATTTGTATAGATTTAATAGAGTTTTTAGATATTTTTACATTTTTTTAATATAAGTCGGTTGGATTATAAATTTAAGATATATATATATATATATATATATATATATATATAATTTATAATTAAGAATAATTCCCATTAAAAATATCATCCTAAAATTACTGGACAAAAAAAGGGGGGAAATAACAGAATTCCATTTTTAAAATTATTTAATTACTACAGTAAAATTAGAAAAGAAAAAAAAAAGAGGACTAAAATTGAAAAATGACAGGAAAAAAAAAACAGAAAAACGACATATGTGTCGAGGATAAAAATGAATGTTTATTTTAATTTAAAAAAGTGGATATATATACGCAATTTAATTTGTTTTGTTTTTGCCCCAAAAAAGAAGAGGCCATAACCAGAGCTTCAAATCCAGAACTCTCCGACGGTTGAAAACAAGGAAAAATATGGAAAATAGAGAGAAGAAGAACGATAACAATAACAAGAAACAAAAGCATCGCCACCAATCAGGCGGCGCCACCGCCAATCCAGCGCTTACCGATTTCTCCTTCAAGCCATCTACCGCTGTCAAAGGTCTCCGATTCGGCGCACAATTCGTTGTCAAATCCTTCACAATTCGCCGAGCCTGGCCTCTTGAATTCCTTCAGCTACTTTCTCTGCCGCCGCACCACGACGGCAATACCGACAGCGACAATAACAACCAAAATCGCCTTCCGTTCAATTCCACTGCCGTGTTCCTGCCGACGAATTTCACGATTCTGGCGCACCACGCTTGGCACAATCTGACGCTCGGCCTCGGCACGAAGAAATCGAAGGTGATTCTGTTTGTGTTCGAGACGGAGGCTTTGAAGGCTGCCGTCGGCCACAGGTGGCCGGCGGAAATGACTCTCGGCGATGTGAATCGACGGCTGATTCGGGGACTGAGCGGCTGTGAGATGGCTAGGTTTAAATTTAGAAAAGGTTGTTTAACTTTTTACGTGTATGCTGTCCGCGAAAGAGGATGCTTCGGATTCTCCGCCGCCGATGATTTGAAACGGATTTTGCAGGCCGTTATTGCGCTGAATGATTTTTTGGACTACACCGCCATGCTCGCGTTGCCGCATCAGAGAACTATCAGTTACGGCGGTGCCGGTAGCAGATTTAAGCCGCCGCCGGTTACCGTTGTTCATTGAATCCCGCTTCTCCTCTGCTTCTTTTTCTCTCTAAAACCTGATCCCTGAATTTCGTCCTCTGTTCATCTGTTTGGAATTGTAATTTTCCATCATTTTTCCCTGAAAATAATGTAAATTAAATCGTCAAATAAAGGGGAGAGTTCCGATTATAACAAACATTTTCCGTGTTTTTTTCCTGGTAATGTAACCATATTAAATAAATATTTCACGAGTTTAATTTAAGAACTAGAATGTAAATTCTCGTTGATATTCATAACATTTGAATAAACTGATACAAGCCCCAATTAATATCTACAAATAAGTAAAATATAAATTAATTAAAAGTTGATAATAAAATAAAATATACTACAAATCAAATCAAGAAGAAATAATAGTAAGATATAATTTATAACGAATATATTCTCCAAATATTATATTTCAATAATTTTTTACAGAATTTTGTATGATATTTTTATCAATTTGTGACCTTTTTTTAAGTATAAATTAATTTGTCTAATTTTTAGGATTATCAATAAGAGTAAAAAAAAATAATCTCACTGTTGCAGTAACTGGACAACGATTGTGTAACACTTGTTCTAACTTAGTGAACAAGTTAGCCATGAGAAATTCAGATGTCGTGGACAACGTCGACGTATCGGACCTCGAATCATGTTTGCAAGAAATATTTTAAAAAATGTAAGTAACAAAAATAAATTTGAAAAAAATGAAGAAAGTAACGTCACGCGGCTATAAGTAAATAAAACATATTAGGTAGATACCTAAATCATAAAGCTTAAGATATTAAGGTTTGAATGAATTTCTTGGAGTTGGCTTTGTGTGTATTTGATTTGCACGTCAACTTTTAGGGAGCAGTTGACACATAAATGGAACAGTTACTATTTCTTCTTATGTCATTTGAATATGAGGCCTTAAATAAAATGGGTTTCTCTTCAATTGTTCTTCAACCAAAATGGAACACTCTTATTTCCATGAATTGAAGAAGAAAGCTTGTTTCTTCCTCAAAGAACATCTCAAAATCGCTCGTTTGGCTCTTACTGATGTTACTCATGCACAATTGTAAATTTTTCTTCTACTTTCGCCGCTCGAGAATATATATCTGAGCTAGTTAAACTATACTGTTGAATGTTTTAGGTTAACAGAAGAAGCAACGAGTGGGAATCCATGGGCACCGGATTCACCGAGCATGAGAGAGATAACAAAGGCAAGTTTTGAAGTTGATGAGTTTTACAGAATTGTGGAGATTCTTCACAAGAGGTTTGTTTTATGAGTTTTAGTTTGTAGTAAATGTGGTAATGTTATTATATTTATGAAGATGATTTCATTCGTGGGGGCCAAATTCTCAGACTGGAGAGATTTGAGGCAAGGGAATGGAGAGCATCGTATAATGCAGTGATATTGGTAGAACATGCTCTAACACATGGCCCATACAGCTTTGCAAAGGAATTTGCAAATGATAGGGCTGTTTTGAGGGAGATGGAGGGCTTCCACTTTGTTGATGACAAAGGGTTAGTTTCCTATTGTTATCTTGATCTTTAAGTTCTCTATTCTAAACCAAAAAAATATATATATATATGCAGATTCAATTGGGGAGAGAGTGTGAGAAAATTAAGTGCCAGAGTTCTCAAACTTCTGGAAGAAGAAGATTTTCTAATACAGGAGAGAATCAAAGCTCGTAATCTTACACGTGGAATCCAAGGATTCGGAAGCTTCAGCCATGAATCACATTTCGACAGATTCAATCGGAAGCAACACGAGTATGAGTATAATGGAACTAGAAACCTCTCCTTAATAGAGACGAGACAAGGGAGCGGGGATTGGAAAGGAGTCGGAAAATGGGAGGAGGCAGCTGATTGGGAGGAAGTTTCCCAATCTCTAATTTCTTCTGTATTATAATGGACAGCCCTTTGTTTCACAATCCTTCAAAGTACAATATGAGGTTCTTGAAAAAAAAACAAAGAATGGAGTATCCATAAATAATATTTTATCAAGTACGGTACTACTTGATAAAATTATATTACATACATAAATTGATTCAGAAGAACAACAACATAAAAATGAAAACAACCCACATAAATCTAAAACCCCTATCCCTTCACAGATTTAGAGATAAATCTTGTGGGAGAATAAATAAATTAATTATAAAACATATGAAAGAATTTGAACCATTTTAGCAATCAAAATTTAGGCCTTCTTATGGGCTCCAAAATTTGAGTGACAGAAGGAATAAACAAAGCTAAGGTGAAAGAGGGGAGGAGCTGAAAAACGCTTCCATTTCAGAAGAAAACACACCATTTTTTGCTCCAATCTCTTCACCAATGAATCTTTCTATTCTTCCTTTAGAAGCATTTCCTGTGCACAATCGACGGTCCAGATTCATCATACTCTGCCTTGGCAATCCACATCTGCAATCCAAAGGGGTAAAATGTTAGTTTGTTTTGTTTTAGTTCTTATCTACTAGTAATTGGCATTGGAGTGTAGAAAACAACCTGTTGGAAGGTGCTAAGGGATGCCAGGATGGATCCTCCAATCCAGACACTGTACTTTCTCTCAGGCGGCGCCACGACCTTTATCTTCATGCTGCTAGGGGCGAGGGCAGAGATTTCCTTGCTCATTCTATCAGCGATGCCGGTGAACATGGTCGAACCACCAGATAGGACAATGTTGCCATACAGGTCCTTTCTGATATCCACATCACACTTCATGATGGAGTTGTATGTAGTCTCATGAATGCCTGCTGCTTCCATTCCTATCATGGAAGGTTGGAAAAGAACTTCAGGACATCTGAATCTCTCCGATCCGATGGTGATCACCTGTCCATCAGGCAATTCATAGCTCTTTTCGACAGACGAGCTGGTCTTGGATGTCTCCATCTCCTGTTCATAATCAAGGGCAATATATGCCAGCTTTTCTTTCATATCTCTCACAATTTCCCGCTCTGCAGATGTGGTGAAAGAGTACCCACGCTCAGTGAGGATTTTCATCAGGTTATCTGTGAGATCACGACCCGCCAGATCAAGACGAAGGATGGCGTGTGGGAGGGCATACCCCTCGTATATAGGAACCGTATGACTGACACCATCACCAGAGTCCATCACAATTCCTTCGAAGACAAACACAAAGAACGAGTAAGCCAAGGCCAAACACGCAACAAATTCTACTGAAAAATCTTGTTCAGACTGTCAAGGAAAGAACACAACTATGTCCAATTTATGTCAAAACAGAACACGTGTATTATTGTCACTTTCAAAGTATGTCTGAACAATTAAAGTTGCATGGCAGCACTAGCCTCCTATGAGTTGAATAAAATTAAAACACTCACCAAGTAAAATGATTGAAGTGGGCTACTTACCAGTTGTACGTCCACTTGCATACAAGGAAAGAACAGCTTGAATGGCCACGTACATGGCTGGAGTATTGAATGTCTCAAACATGATTTGTGTCATCTTCTCACGATTGGCCTTCGGATTAAGAGGAGCCTCGGTTAGGAGAACTGGGTGTTCCTCTGGTGCAACACGAAGCTCATTATAGAAAGTATGATGCCAAATCTTTTCCATGTCGTCCCAGTTACTAACAATACCATGCTCAATTGGATATTTCAGTGTCAAAATACCACGCTTGGATTGAGCCTCATCACCAACATAAGCATCTTTCTGACCCATCCCAACCATCACACCAGTGTGGCGAGGACGACCTACGATACTAGGAAACACAGCTCTTGGAGCATCATCTCCAGCAAACCCAGCCTAGAATTCAACACAAAATCATTATTTCCTCTTAGATGAACACTGAGTTCACTGCCATTTAAACAGTGACTGCAGATAATTTATTAAGATATGTATAACTTTGTAACTCTTAATACCTTGACCATTCCCGTTCCATTATCACAAACGAGAGGCTGAATATCCTCAGAATCTGCCATCTTCTAATACCTGCGAGAAGAAAATGCAAGTTAGAAATTTGAACAAGCAACAAAAGGAAATTTAAATATCAAGTGCATCCTTCGTTCCTTTCAAGAATATACACTTCTTAGCCAGAAAAAACTGTCTACACCTACAATTTGTCTACTTATTAACCAAATAGAGTGTGGAATTGGTTATACTTGTAAAGGATACCCCCTAGTCCCTTCAAATTGCAACACCATAAAAAGATATCTTCTCCTCATTGAACTTTAGTAATCGAACAACATACATCTGCAATTCTTAAATATTTACAATAGGTACAATGGAGAAATGAAATGATCTGCCAATTGATTCTACACGTACGGAAGCTGTTTCCAGAAAACGATCAAGAAATCAATTTCATTCTTCCAGATTTCCACGACGCATGGACGCTCAAACGAAATATAAAAACACAAGCATCTCCACGTCCAAAATCCGCATTCCAACACGAAACAAACAAATAAGCGCGAACCAAAAAAATCCACCACATTCTCATTCCTCTTCCATTTCTTTCATCCAATAATTCATTCAAACATCAAACGTCCACAAAACAAAACAACATAATCAAAATGCACAACAACAATAGAAACAATCAAATAAGCGGCAGATTAATCCAAACCACAAACAATAAACAAAACAAGACAACAGATGATAAACAAAAACTCAAACATAGATCAAAACATGAGAGAGAAATGAGAATTAGACCTTTAGACAATGCGATGCGATCCAAATGGAGGAGTGAAAGGGAAGAACGAAAGCGAGGGAAAAACAGAGAGAGAGTGAGAGAAGAATTTAAAGGAGGAAACGGAGAAGACGGATTGGATGAAGGGAGGGAGATTTAATATGAACCGTTGGATCCACGAGAACGCGTCCATTGCTGGGACTCATTACCACCTCTTGGCCACACCACCTTCCGGTTTTCTAGTCTTTTTCTTTTTTTCATTGCTTTCTTCCCTTACTATTTTTGTTTTTATATATTCAACAAAAACAATAATAAAAAATCCCTTATTTATTTATTTCTATTTTTTTTTTTAACTTTCAAAAAATTATATTCTAAATTATACACCATCATAAACCTTTTTTTTTTTAATAAATTATTGTCCACCGTTAACATAAGGAGTCCGAGAACGTCGATATAGAACATAAGTAATTATCGAGATTGTAGAAGGAGCTTGAGATTGAAGACTATCTAATATATTTTAAATTCAAAATTCATACAATCTGGTCGAGAGTATATATCTTAATCGTCTTACGTGTCTCTCTATTTGTCGTTTCTCACCCTTTAAGAAACGTTACCTAAAGTCGGTGATAACGATCAACAGTACCCTTAGTAAAAAAAACGACTCGAGAGCAAAACTATTTTAGAGTGTTTTGTTACTAAACATGTGTGTCAATTTTATCAAATCTAAACATTACTCGTAATATTGTAAAAAAAATATTCACTATAACTCAAAATTTTCACATAATGCTTCAAACACTCAAAATAAAATTTGTGTGTTCGGGTTTGGATTAAAGGTCTTATAGGACATCATTGGAGCCCAAAAATGGCCGATTTTAAGCATAAAATCAGCTCTGGGTTCATAAAACAAATGTATCTAACGATAACCACACAATCCAATACCTTTAATACCCTTTTTCGTTCTGGTTGAAAAGGGAACGAAATATTCCTTATAAGGATGTAAAAACTTCTCCCTGTACTCATCTAAAAGAAATTACAATACCTGCCAGCTGTATGTAACATTTTCTACTTAATACCATATCTAAATACCTTAGTTTAATAGATCATGCATTGAATTTCGAGAATACATAGCTAAAAACTTAGAGATAAAAAGAAATAAATCTCCAAATTCAAGTGCATAATCACAACACACATGTATCTACATATATATATATATAAATATAAAATTCAAAAAGCCTGCGAAGAGAAGCTGTGAAGATCTTTGTTTTCTACTTTGAACATTTTAATGACAAAAAGAGAGAAGTTCGGAAGGATTGAGGAAAATTACTGTCTGGATAAGTGTCCGGCGGAGGACGTAGCGAAGCTGTGAAGATCGGCGCCGGTGCTCCAAGCATTCGTGTCGCCGCCACCGACCCAGAATTGGAAATTCTTCCCCAAGTTCATTGCTTTACTCTCTTCCACCTTCACCGTCCCCGCCATCGTGATTCCGACGTTGTTCTCCATCTCTAATCTCGATAACTCGTTTAGATTGTATCGAGTCGTCGCGCCTTCTGGTGGGTCGAAAGTGTAAAGTATATTAGGTTGTTGATTATTAGCCAAGATAGGGAATTGCTGTGGTTGTTGTAATCTCCAATGGTCACCGTGAAATTCATGAATATCCGGTCCTCCGGCGGCGGCAGCGGCGGCGGCGCCACTGCTTGTTGGAGGTGGCGGCGGCGGAATTATCCCCAAGTTTAGGTAATTAGAGAAATTATGTAAAGATGACAAAAAGGGCAAATGGGGTTGAGCTGAAAGTGAAACTGCAGGCGTTGAATTAGCGGAGCTCGGTCGCTCGCCCGCCGTCGGAGACTTGGACCGATTCTGGGGTTTAGCCCTCTTGTTCCTCCGGCAGCCACCACCAACGGGAACATTCCTCAGCGCACCACCACGCGTCCAGTACCGACGACACGTCTTGCAAAAGTGGCGCGGCTGAGAAAGATTATAGTTATTAAAGTAACAGAATTTAGTATTGGGAGATTCACATCTAGGGCATTTTAATCCAGGCTCCGGTTGCGGAATCTTCGCCAACCGAGCACGATCGGTCATCGAAACCGGTCTAATCAACCCACCACCACCACCGCCACCGCCACCACCAGTACCTCCACCACCAGAAGGTGGCAGAGGTAGCAAAACCTGATCGGAATCCGGAGCAGTGTTATTTTGTTGTGTATTGAACTGGGAAAAACCAAAAAACAAGCAGGATTAAAGATGGAGTATATTCAAGAACAGATAAAATAAAATTAAAAAAAAAAAAAAAAAAGGTGGGAATTGTAGGGCTCGAAACCACTCACGGAAGGCCAGTTGGGAGGAGGATCCAAAGGGAAAACCATGGTAAAAGGTTAGTGATGGTGGAGAATCACATTTGCTGGGAAATGAGAGAAAGAAGATGGCCACCAAAGTAGGGTTTCTTTACTTTATGCCTTTCTCTCTCTAGATTCTAATTTGTTAGCCATGCATGGTGCTGTGGCTAGAGAGAGAAATTATAATATAAATTAAGCTTTTTAGTGGGTCTTTGAGGTGAGAGAAGGAATATTATTATTAACTAATTAATTAATTAATTAAAATATGAATAAATAAAAAGAAGATGAACAAAAATAAAAAAGGTGATGGGTGGAGGGAATACTCTGGGTGGAAGTGTCGCAATCGAATGTACCTTTGTTTCCACTATTACCCTTCTTTTGTTTTCTTCTTAATTATATTCTTTTATTATTTTCACTTTTTTCTTAATACTTCTTAATTAAGAAAACAAAATTAAAAATACATTTATTTCCAATAATTTATTTTCATAACGTTTGAGTATATTTTATTTATTTATTTTTAGTTTAGTGAAACTTNAACCAATACAATCTACGAGACGCAATTGCACGGTGTACCACTCAGGTAAAACCAAGCTCTAGTTTTCATTTACTTTACAACCATTTGTGAAGCATGAGGAAGAAAGATGAAGCTGTTGTTCATGGCAGGTGTATCCGAAGTCATGGACTGCAATATATGTGGCGCTGGACAACGTGGGAATGTGGAATTTAAGGTCGGAATTCTGGGCAAGGCAGTACCTGGGTCAACAGTTTTACTTGAGAGTTTACACGCCATCGACTTCATTGAGAGACGAGTACCCAATTCCAAAGAATGCTCTGCTCTGTGGAAGAGCCACTGGGAGACGAACCAGGCCACTCTAGGCTCTATCCTCTGAGCTCAACACAATCAAATGATTTGTCATGTCGTATCATATCATATTTAGTTCTTCTGGGAAGGATATTCACAAAAAAAAAAAAAAAAAAACGCACTATAAATGTATTTTTATTTTTTTATTTTAATTTAAAAGTATTTTTATATATATATATTTTTTAATTTAAGAGAATTATTAAAACGTTTGAAAATTGAATGAGTTTAGCCTTATTATGGTATTATACTTAAAATGCTATTATTTTTATAGTATTATACTTAAAATGCTATAAAAATATAATGTTAAGTCAACTATTGAAGTAAATTTGAAAATAAATAAATAAATGTTAGTGGTAACAATGGCTTTTTCTTTAATTAATTTTTTTAAAAAAAAGTGGAACCTTAATTAATTAAATTGAAGTGATTTGACGACAAGTCGACAATCAACAATGTCAAAATAATACAAAGGCTTAACTTTAATTAAAATATCCCATTTAAGGAATTCCGACCTGTCGCTCTGTGTAAAAAGGATAATTATTTTCCTAATCAAGTTAGGTGAGCCTTCAAGTTTTCTAAAAAGAAGATTAATTAACATTTAACTCAATCATAAAAAGTTAATTAACCTTCGTTTTTTTTTTTCATTTTGAATTAGATTGTATTATTGAAAAATTAAAATTATTATGAAAATTAAAAATATTTGACGTTTATAACCGATGTGTTTTGATGGATGAATGTTTGATATTTGAGATTAATGAAATTTTAATTATTAATGTAATATATGCCGTAGACAAGTAATATTTTTTAAAAAAAATAATACGATAACCTAATACAACTCAACTGAAGTTTTAATTGAAAAGATGAGATTTAATAAAAAAGGTAATAGGTAGTAAATTATTGGGGTGAGGCGGAGGCCGGCGGCGGCGGCGGCAGCGGCAGCATCGGATGCTCGTTGTCGGAAAAGTTAAAACACCAATCCATTTTGGGCGGTGGGGCCACTCAGTTCAAACATTATTAATGGCGAGATTTTAGCCTCGAGATTTAGTCATTTAATTTTGAGTGTTTAGTTAGAAATGAATCAATAATTATGGTCCTATTTCATTAATTGCCAAAATCAACGCATTAATTACCTGGTTGGTATTGTTTTGAGTAATATGTGTTAGTTGGACTGGGTTTGAACTTGGAACGGTTCAAACTGCAAATTCGATCTAAAGGTTGGCAGGTAACGTACATACCTCTACCTCATGGTACCTAATATTGACATGATTCGCTTCATCTTTAACCTAATTCATAACGCGAATGTAAGAATTTTTTATGACTAAATAAGGATGAGGTCGACTAGCTTCTCGACCATGTTATGATCGACTAGAGAGTGTTGGTATAACCACTCCACAGATCCTAATTTTTGTGACCTAGGTATTGCAACGAAAACGACAAGGAAGACGAAGCAAGATTCCCTCGATAAAATTTGAACTTAAAACTTCAAGAAAATGAGTAAACGTCAATTACCGCTTGATCAAGCTTATGTTGATTAGTTTAGTTTTAGTTTCAGCCAAATGGTCCATCAGGTTTCTCGAGAAATAATTAATTATATAGAAAAAAAAATCGGGTTTTAGATGGGGATATGCATGGGATAGGAACAAGGAGGGCCCTCGTGAATGGATACGCCTAATTTAAAAGCTGAAATTTAGTCTCAATCAATCATAAAAGAAAGGGAGGAAAAAAAAAAGGTGGTGGATGAATCCAAATCAATAATATTCTTACCTCTTTTAACACATTTCTTCAAATTTAAACACTCACAATAATAATAATAATTACTATTTTTAAAAAATATATATTTACAGCCAAATTTTATTAGACGTAAGTGTTATTTTTTTAATTTAAAAGAAATATTATATTATTTTTAAAGATAGTTTCATATGAAATAGAAAATCGATCAGTCTGTTGGACGAAAAGTTAACTTAGTCGAACATTCAAACTTAATCTATATAATCATCTCAATCACACCTACATCATTTTAGGTGATTGTCGTGTTATCTTATTTATCCAATATAATACGACTTTTTAAAAATAATATATTTTAAAATAAAAAAATATTTGACTTTTTACGTCTAATATTTAATTAATTTCTGATTTTTTAATATTTACTTAATTTCTTTAGTTAAAAGTGAAATTGTTTAGATTTTTTTTTTTAGAGGAAAATGCAGAAAATAAGAGAAATAAGTTTAAAATAATAATAAATAATAAATATATGTGAAAGGAGTTTTTGGGAACCGAAAAATAATAATAATAAAGATATGGAATCCAATTCTCGCATCAGATTCCATGTTGATTTTTGCAGAGGGAATGTATTTTACTTTTCTTATTAAAAATATATTTTTATGTCATTTTTTTATTTTTTATTTAAATACTTTATTGTTATTGCCATCCTATGTTCATTAAATTTTATAATGTATGTCTACCATTAATCTCCCAATAAGATACATCCAATATAAAATTTACTTTGTTTTTCTTTAAATTATAATTTAAAATTTGAAAAGATTCATTTTTAATTAATATAAATTGTATCTCATCTATGTTATTGTATATACAGTCAAAAGATAGCTTAAAAAATATAAACATTTAAATTATAATTTATATTTTTATTAAAAAATGATTTAATTAATAAACTTTATTAGCTTTTAAATTTTTATAATTTAATATATATATATTTTAAAATAGTTTATATTATAAAACTGACGTAATGGTATAAAATGATTTGACGTGGTAATAAACCATCTAGATTTATACGCACAAAAAATGTGGATATCATATCAAATCCACTTCATATCCTGAATTTTATATTTCGGAATAAGAACGATAGAAACTAAATCGTTACCTATTTTAATTTACAAAAATAATTAAAATTAAATTAGTACATGGTAAAATATAAAAAGATTAAAATCCGATTTGGGCCTTCTACTTGGACTGCCCAAACCTAATGCAAATGGGCTTGGTCTTTTAGAAGCCCAAGATAAAATTTTCCAAATGGGCTGGAAATTTTATGTATTTATTTTCTAATAATTTTTCAAATTTGTTACATTTTAAAATATTTTAGTTAATGCAAGATTAAATTGCGGGCGGTTCTGTACATGAATTAAAATTAAAATTAAATTATTGGTGATTTATGAAGATACTTTTAAATATAAATAATTTATCTGAAAATTCAGCTAAAAATTCAAATAAGTAATAAAAATCCAACGCAATGGCAAAAACACTCCATAAATTCAACGGTGTTCATCTTCTTCACAAACGAAAATTTGACAGATTTTCAGCTGATTGAAGTCCAAAATGAATTTCAACGAACTGATAGATACGCCATTGATTCAGCCTTGGATTGACGGTGGGTGTCGATTCCCAATGGGGTTCGGTCCTGAAGGATTCTTCCGACCGCTAGCTCTCACCTGTTCTCTCCCTTTCATCTTCTCTCATAGAAGCAAGATTTTCGATTCATGAGAAAAACAAGAAGATTTTGTCGAGAGTTGAATGTAAAAAGCAGAAGGAATCGACTCACTGTATCGACGAACATGAATTTTCTTCCCGGTTGCGCTTGTCTGGATTCAGCCGATTCAAAATGATTCACGAAGCCAATTGAATGAACGCATTGAGAAGATACGAGGAGGCCGAACAGGAGGTAAGCAAGAACTAGCGTTCTATTTTGCTCTGTCATTTGTCGATGCATTTCTATGTCGAATTGAGAAGCCAACTTCTGCCGATATTTATAAGCATGAGAATGTACATACATGTACAGTTATATTTCATTCGCAACATAATCATAGCTTATTTGAAGGATTTGAGATTTCGATCCAAATTGTGTCTGGGAATCCTATGCCAAAACAGATCTGTGATGTCGATTTCTGCGTCGTTTTTCGTTGACTTGAGTGTGCAATGAGTAATCATCTTGTAAAAACATTCATTCCCATTAAATTCATAGCATGCTTCCAAAATTTTCTCCACGCATGAAATCAAAAAATACTGGTTTTGTGTTCACTTTTCATTGTGCAGCATACCTGTTTGATGAAATGCCCCAATGACATTATTATGAGTTCTTCATCCTTTTTCTTCTTTTTCCAATTGATTTAGACCTTTAAGCTGCTTGTGAATGATTATCCCAAGTTCATCAAAGCAAGCACTGAAGTTGGTAACCTTGAATTTGTTGTGTTTTGTTCTGATCTGTTGTTCTTTTAAAGAACAAAAAGATGAGTAGATGTTCTTCTTGCTTTCTTATATGCTGTCTTTCTATTGATTTATTTACATTATATGGTGAATCCAACTCCAATTTTTTTGTTCTTTTTGGATTGAAAGATGTCACCTTAAAAGTAAGTTGGAGGTTAAAATTCAGCTAAATCTTCATCTTCTTTTAGTGTAATTCGACTATATTACTTTAAATCAGTTCATCTGTGGAGGAAGAACTAAGAATGAGACAATATATGATGATGTATTGGACAGTGCTTATAAAGTTTGATGGTGCATTTAGGCACTTGATTATGTTCCCTTTTAGGCCTTTTGTCTTCTTTCTTTTAGAATTTTATCAGGTGGGGTGCTTTTGATCCCTATCCTGCTTGTGCTTTGGACGCATTACAATCCAAATATAAAAACCCCGTTTTAGCCACTTTTTTGTGTTTTTCTTTAGCCACTGTTTTGGTTTTTTCCTTTAGGATAATAATAGAACTTTTTATTCGGAAAAGAATGTCTTGTTAGATGAACATGGCTCTCCACAATGGTATGATATTGTCTACTTTGAACTCGACTCCTTTTCTTTTGGCGTCTTAGTCGTCTTTGACTATATGCCTTCGAGGAGCCTTAACCCCTTTTTCTTTTGGAGTCCTTTCTATTGACATGGCTAAGCCTTGACCCCTTTTTCTTTTGGAGTCCTCTCTATTGACATGGCTAAGCCTTGACCCCTTTTTCTTTTGGAGTCCTCTCTATTGACATGACTAAGTTTTAGAGCCAGGTTAGATGAACCTGACTCTCCACAATAGTATGATATTGTCCTCTTTGATCATAAGCTCTTATAGCTTTGCTTTGGGCTTCCCCAAAAGACTTCATTCCAATGGAAAGAGTATTCCTTGACTATAAACCCATGATCATTCCCTAAATTAACCGATGTGGGATTTTCATCTAACACTTTTTATAGCCTTATTCATTTCATTCTTCTTCTCTTAGAATCGCCTTTGTAGGTCGGAACGTAGCAGTCATGATGATTCATGGAAGGAAACTTCTTCACAAAATCAGAAAGTCTTAATAGCATAAATGGCAGTAATGTTACGGGATGTTGAAAATTCGAGTACTTCTTCAACCTAGTATGTTGAGATGGGAGCATGACTAGAGAGCAAGAAAAACTCTCATTTTTTGGTTGGGATAAATAAAAGCTTCCTCGTTCTGTTGTCAAATTATTCTGTATTGACTTAATTTATACTTTAATAGGAAAAAGTAGTCTCAACCAAGGGCATTTGGTCTAGTGGTATGATTCTCGCTTAGGGTGCGAGAGGTCCCGAGTTCAATTCTCGGAATGCCCCAACCTTTTTTTACTTTTCGAAGATTTTTATTTTATTTTTTAACAGCACGTTTCATATTTTAATTTGTTTCTCGAAAGAAGCGCTTTGGGCCCTACTATTTATAACGGTCCAGCTTACCAAACACGACCGATACAATGTCAATTTTTTCGTGGGCCCTTGTGGGCTTCCGGTTTTTTCATCTTTATAAAATATACTGAACTGTAAAAAATTTAAAATATGAAAACTTTACGGTAAAATCACGATTTTTAAAAATTAGGATTTTTTTTTAATATTTATTACAAATATACCAATGTTAGTTTATGGTGTTTCAATTTCTACTCCATTTTTATTTTTATTTCGATTGTCATATCCTTACTTTATTTAAATTGATTTTAAATATTTGAAAATCATCATATAAAACATGTAATATAGTATAGTCTCATGTCACACATGTTAATGTTGTAACCACTTTGCATTTATTTATTCACACATTTATTTTTGACGCAGACATACACTTTAGTTGTTTACTTCAATCTCATGCTTAAAATTATTCAATCATTATTTATTACATCTTGATAATTTTATGCATTATTTATTTGAGTGTTTTTATTGCGGTTTACCAATGTTTCAACCATTATTCAAATTAATGTGACAGATGATAAAATTTTGAAAGCAAATTTCTGTCACTTCCCACTACTACTACTACTCAGAGCCGTCTGCTACTCTCTCTCTCTCTCTTCATTTCTCAGGTGGCCGCTTTGAATAATTTCCCCACAGATTTCCCACCCATTCTCCCTCAAATCCCTCTCTCATGGAACTCTTGCCCTTCTCCGTCACTCCTCCACCGCCGCTTTGAATCGTTTGCTTTCTGTCTTTCACCATAAGGGCGGAAAGGAAGAGCTAATCGAACAGACTTCCCTGATATTGGTCTGTTCGTTGATTTATTTTCGTCCCCATTTCATGTATGTCCTTCTCTTTCTGTAGCTCTTGGCGACTGGACCGGCAGCGGCGGCGGCGGCAGCGGCTATGCGATCCCCTCAGTCCCTCCGCAACGGCGGAATGTCATCGCCTCATGCTCGAATGCCTACTCCTCACCACCACCACCACTTCCACTCCACTGTCTCTGTTCAGAAACTCAAGCGCTTCAACTCTCTCATCCTCGTCTTCCGTCTATCTACCTTCTGCTTCTCCCTCGCCTCCGCTGTCTTCATGATTACTAACTCTCGCGGCTCTGGATCCGATTCCCCTCGCTGGTACGATTTCGACGCCTTCAGGTACGCTTCTCTTTCTTCTCCGATTATCGCGTCGACCTTGTTTCTGTTTCGCTTTGGTTCATGAGAAAATTTAGGTTATAAGGAATGGACTATTTGGCTCGTTCATCTTCGTTCTCCTGAAAACTAAACGCGGATTGAATTCGTTGAAATGAACTCTAACAACGATTGAGAATCTTCAACCAGGTACGTTTTCGCGGCGAACGCCATAGTCGCAGTGTACTCACTGTTTGAAATGATCGCTTCCGTGTGGGAAATCTCGAGAGAAGTGACTCTCTTCCCTGAGATTTTACAAGTCTGGTTCGACTTCGGCCATGACCAGGTCGAAACCCTAGCCCCTTCCTTCTCTTTCTCTTTCTCTTTCTCTCTCTTCTGGTCTAATCGGAATTAGGGCTCTGATTCCATAGGCGTTTGCATACCTCCTCCTCTCTGCGGATTCGGCAGGGACGGCTCTCGCGATAACTCTGAGGGGAACCGACACGTGTAGGGTGACGACCGCCTTTTGCGTTCAATCAACGATCTCGATTGCACTGGGATTCGCCGGTTTCCTGTTTCTCGGGTTATCGACGCTGCTTTCGGGTTTTCGGGTCGTCTGTTTCGTAATCAACGGCTCTCGTTTTCATTTCTAACCCTGAAACTCCGACAGCCGAATATTTTGATGCGTCATGTCGTTTTGATTTGGCTAATTACATCTCTCGGTCCTTCATCTTTTGATTTTTTCCCATTTGGTCCTTCATTTTACTTATCTCAATATATTAAAAGTTCTCAGTTAAAATTTAGCTCAAATGTATTAAAAAAATTCTAATTAATTATTTTAAAAAATTATAATTAGTTAAATTTTGTGAATTTTTGTTTTGTTTACGGATTTGATTTAGTACTTAAAAAATTGGAATTTAAAAAATCAAAGACCAAATTGAAAAATTAGTCAAAAAGATTTTGGACTACTGCGTCGGCTGTGCTGGCTTGCGTGTGTGTGCTGTTCTCTACTCTATGATGTCGACATGTCTGTAGCTTCACTGTCAACATTTTGAGTGATTCTTTTTGCATAGTGATAGTATTTGTAGCTCTCCTTTATGTATGTTTTTTTTTTTCCAGCTATCTGATAGGGAATAAAGTTTTATTATTTATTGATTTATTATTGATTCAAAATGAAAATGGGAAAAAGATGCGATCACAGTGGGATTCGAACCCACGACCTTTAGATCCGGAGTCTAATGCGATATCCACTCCGCTATGTGACCGCTCGGTGTCATCTCCGATTGAAAAAGCTATTTGATTAAGGCATTAGGAGCGGTTGGATCTTGCTCAGAAACCGAGTTTGGGAAGGCCTAAAGATGAACAGGCGGCGATCTGATTTCACGATGCAGAAAAAGAAGCGAAGAAGACGATCTGTTGTATTTTGCGTACCTTTATGTTCGTCTAGGGCTCTGTTCGATGCGATTGGACTCGAACAGATTCCTGAGTGAAACAAGAGCAATCAACTCGATTGATTTCGATTTTCGCCTGTTGCAGCTATTCACTCGAGCAGATCAGGATTGAAACAACAACAATCAAAACTCCATCGATTTGGATTTCTGCCGGACGCTGCAGCGACGGCTGATACGGAATTAGTTTTGGAGATTGCTCTTAAAGATCAAACATAGTTATAACCTAAGTTTTTGGTTATATATATTTGATTTGGGGCTCACGAAAGCTATGACCCCCACTTGTTTTCAGAGTAATTTATAATTTAGATTAAATTAATTAATTGTAATTTCATCTAATTTTCTGATATTTATATTTTCAATCAGATATAAAACGCATTTTTAAAAAAAATTTGTGTAATATAAAAAATAAACTAAATATTAACAAAAAATAGAAATAATTTAATTTTCAAATAAATATTTATTCGGTAAATAAAGAAATAAATAAATATTACAAGAATTCAACTATCCGTAAAAACATATTTTATTCGATATATTGGAATCTACAAAAAGTGATTTTCTGGAAAGAATTCTGAAAAAATATTTAATTAAAAATAAGACGTCATAATAATTTAGCCATCCAACCAATCTTCGTTTACCACGTGGAAATGTAACACTAAGCTCGCTTACACTTGATAAAATATGAAAGTAAATTATTTTAAATATTGACAATATGATGTCCAACTCTTATAAATACGACATCCAATAGTCCCTTCTTTTTTTCATCGTAAATTTATCTCTCTGTTAAATTCTGAATTTCCTCAGAGGAATCCCAGATTTCGATCTCTCTCAGGTAAATTTGCGGACCCCTTTGGATTTACTGTTACCGTTGTTCCGATTCAAAATGTCGTCGTTTTGTGACCGTAGCCATTGTTGTTAAAAGGAAGCTTTCGTCTCTTTTCCCCTTTTCGTAATTCTCACGTTTTTTCAGATTCCATCTTTTTTAAAATTTAAAGCGTTTGATTGTGTTCCAATTCCATTCAACATTATTAAATTCCACGATTTTTGGGGTCTTCGTTTATTATTTGAGGGGTAACATAGTTCTTCGATTTTTTAACCCTTTTGCTTTGTTCTTCAAAAGGAAGATTTTATTTGTGGATTTGTTATTGACCCAATTCATGATTAGTACTGATTTTGAGTTTTTTTTTTTTCCGTTTTGGTTCTTATTTGAGTAGCAGAAATTTTGAAGGGAAGTTTCAGTGATGGCTAGGGAGTCGTCAAATGGAGAGGTTTATACCTCTACAAAACCCCCACCGCCCCCTTCTCCTTTGAGAAGTGCAAAGTTTTTTCAGGTAACAATCTTTAGATCAGATCAGATCAGATCATGGGATATCTTTGATCAGCTTGAGTTTCCTGATGGATTCTTTGATGAATTTGATTGGTATAATTGGGGCGAAATCTTTTGTTTCTTGTTCTTAGCTTCTTATATCTGTTGTGTTGATTTGATATTGTACATTTTGGGTTCTAGTTTGAATGGATTCGCTTTAGAAAGGCTAACTTTACCGAGTTTGGAGGGCAACCCCGGTTGAACTAGGTGCCCTTGAAGGATATGATTCTAACGGTCGATTAACAGGGCTAAGGGGAGTGATTGAGTTGGTGTAATAACTATTGAGGCATTCTAATGAAAGATCTTATAAGATTCTTAACTTTTTTTTGTTGATTTAAGAGTGTATCTTTCAAGAAGATTAGCATGATTCTATGTTTTGTGTTTCGGTGGCAGGCCAATATGAGAATTTTGGTTACGGGAGGAGCGGGATTTATCGGCTCGCATTTAGTAGACAAATTGATGGAGAATGAAAAGAATGAGGTATAAAAACGTTGATGGACGAGTTATAAACAACGACGTTTGGAAGTTGATATTCTAAGTCGATTTTACTTCTCTTTAGGTTATCGTTGCGGATAACTATTTTACTGGCTCGAAAGACAACCTTCGAAAATGGATCGGTCATCCTAGATTCGAGCTCATTCGACATGGTATATACTCTGTCATCTTTAATCTCTTTTTGCTTTTTGGTTTGTTTACTCGAACTCGAAATGACCCGTTTTCGTCCATGTCGTAATGCTAGACGTCACCGAGCCATTGCTGGTCGAGGTGGATCAGATATACCATTTGGCTTGTCCGGCTTCACCGATCTTCTACAAATACAACCCTGTAAAGGTATTAGAGTTTGAAATTGGCTGCATTCTTATTGCAAATATGATGTTCTAACTTTGAAGTCATGGTGTTCAGACAACAAAAACAAATGTTATTGGCACATTGAATATGCTGGGACTTGCCAAGAGAGTTGGAGCTAGGTTAGGACTGACTTTGAATTGTTCTTTAGTACTGAACTGGTTTAATGTATATGTCTTTTATGTTGTTCTTAGAATCTTGCTTACGTCGACCTCGGAGGTGTACGGTGACCCTCTTGTTCATCCCCAGGACGAAAGCTATTGGGGAAATGTCAATCCAATCGGTATGTCGAATATTCTCAAAACTGATGTCTACTGATAGGCTTAGAATTCCGCCTTCGTAATTTTCACGCTCGTAATTCTGCTTCCATAAGGTGTAAGAAGTTGCTACGACGAAGGAAAGCGTGTGGCCGAAACATTAATGTTTGATTACCACAGGCAACATGGGATCGGTGAGACTCATGTTCTTGTTATGGTCCGTGTTAACTTCGACCTGTTTTAACGTCGATATAGTAAAACTAAGAACTTTTTCTGTAACAGAGATAAGGATTGCCAGGATTTTTAACACCTATGGACCGAGAATGAACATCGATGACGGTCGTGTTGTTAGCAACTTCATTGCTCAGGCAATCCGGTAAGTTTTCATCAGTACTTCTATGAAGTAGAAGTATATTTGCTTTCATTTATGAACTCTTTTTTCCTTTCTTTGAAATGCAGTGGTGAACCATTGACCGTTCAGGCGCCCGGAACACAAACGCGGAGTTTCTGTTACGTTTCTGATATGGTTTGTGAAAATTAAAATCGACCCAGTCCTGAGCTTTACTTGTTTCCATGATTTACCTGTCGTTGTAATCGTGTATATGGAGACTGTTTTTGGCTCATTGTTTACTACTTTTAACTGATCAAGGTTGATGGACTGATCCGACTCATGGAAGGAGAGAACACTGGGCCGATCAACGTCGGCAATCCAGGTTCGGTATCATAGAACGATGAACTCTAAGAAATCTGTCGTTCAACTGTCGTTAGTAACTCTATCATTATTGTGCTAGGTGAATTCACCATGCTCGAACTCGCGAAAACTGTCAAGGAGGTACGATATATCTCCATAGAAGTACGGATAGACAAAGCTTTCGGATTGTTGGTTTAAGTTTGAATGTCGTTCGTTTTTGCAGCTTATCAATCCTGACGTCGAGATTATCATGGTCGAGAACACCCCGGACGATCCGAGACAGAGGAAGCCAGACATTACGAAAGCGAAGGAGGTTCTTGGATGGGAACCAAAGATCAAGCTGAGAGATGGACTGCCTCTAATGGAGGATGATTTCAGGGCAAGGCTTCAAGTGCCAAGAAAGAACTAAATTTTGGTTTGTTGGATGATGAACATTGTTGTTGTTGAGAGCTCAAGATGTTGAGGAGTTTTTGGTCTTTAATAAAAATATTTATTTTCATTTATGTTTTTATTTAAATTTACATGAATAATGAATAAAAAATAAATAAAAATTAACAATATCTCATAACTCGCTAAAAATTCAATTTATCCATTAAAAAATTAATTATTTAGATGAAATAAAATTTAAAATAATTTTTTTTTATTAAACATCAAATTTAAATTTATATATAATAAATCAGAAAACTTCCTATTAAATACAAAATTAAAATAAACCGATTAAAAACATTTACTATTTATTAAATTTGGACGAAATAGATAAATACTATTTTTTCTTAAAAATTAAATTTAAGAAAAATAATTTTTTGTTATTTATTTATTTATTTCATTTCATTTATTTGTTTGTTTGTTTATTATTATTATTATTATTATGGTTCGAAATCTAAATTTTCCAACTCCGATTTAATTTCTTCTCCATTATTTCCTTTTTATTTTATTTTTTTTAGAAATTGTTTTATATTTTCGTCTTCCATTTTCATTCATTCCTCTTTCATTCCTGAAACTCTCTCACCGGCAGCGAAGCTTCCGACAGTTTTTTTTTTTTTTTTCTGATTCTGTTTCAAATGTAGAAGGAAGCACTTCCGACCTCCAGCATCCAAGAACTTCAATTCACTCCTTCTTCATCTTCTTCTTCTTTGCTTTTTCTCTGTGGAATTTTGTGTTCTTATGGCTTCCGCCTTCAGTCCTTCCCGGAGCCCAGGGAGTTCTCGGCTCCAACACTTGGGACCGGTGTCTGGTGTCTCTCGTTTGAGATCTTCATCGCTCAAGAAGCCTCCTGAACCGCTACGAAGAGCCATCGCCGATTGCCTCTCTTCCTCTGCTGCTAATTCGCATCATGGAGGTCCCTCTGCTTCAGTCGTCGTTGCCGAAGCTTCCAGGACTCTTCGGGTGAGTAATTACGAGGTTTCCTGTGTTCATTTTGTTTGGATCTTGCAATTCTGCTTGGATTACTCCAGAATCCGTCTTTTCGGATTCATTTTTTTTTTAATTGGAATTTTCCGTTTGTTTGACTTAAGCTGCGTGTTCTGTGGGAATTTCGATGGGTCTGAGGTTCATTTGTTGCCTGGTTGAGGGCTGGGATTTCTAACATTGGCTGGCTTCTTGTGAACGTGAATGGTTGTTTCGTGTTTTCCGATTGAATTGTGTCGATATACATCCGTTGTTTTTTTTTTCTTCTTTCGTTTTCTAATGTCGTATGATTCGGAATTGGATGTTGGAAGTATCGTCTGTGGTTTTTTGTAGATTATTGGTAATGTAAGAATACAACTATAGCGTTCAAGTGGAAGTATAATTATGGCAATTTACTTCTCTTAGGTGAATGCGTTCTCGTTAATCAATTACTTTCGAAGAAATAAATGAAAACTAAAATAGAACGTTCAAATACTCGTGTCGAGTTGAACTATATAAATCTATTCCGTTGGGGTTTATTTGCATCATGGGATAGTTCTCATATTTAATTTTTTACCAGTTATAATGAGACGGTATCATCTTCATTCTCATTCATTTGCTTTCTTATTTGTTTAATTGATGTATTTTTATATCTGCACAAGGTCGTGCTTTTTCTCTAATAATGGCGTAAAAATTAGAACAGTAATGAATATAAGGATGGTTCGGCAGTACAAAGCTTTTGAATCTAGTTAAGAGGCAAGATCAGGGGATTAGACTCAATTAAGCTAACGCTACTTAGTATTTTAATAATGCTGCTCAGTTAGGCATGCCCGGAAATTCTTTACTACCAAATTCTGTACCAATAGCTCTCATTTCTGTACCAATAGCTCATCATCGCAGCATGGTAGCCTGCATCGGACTACCCATTGCTAATCTGTCATTGAATGCACAAATGATTTGCATTGCTCGCATCCTATCTTTTTACCGATTTCTTGGATACGCTTGAGTCAAGTAGAGCTAAGGTGTAAAACATTCTTTATATAAAGATTAGCTATTTCACCTGAGTTGAAAATTGAAATTATTTGAGAATTCATCCAGTCACAACAACCTAAGTATGATATTCCTGCCCCACTTCATTATAAATCAGCTAGCCTCGAGCTTAGTAACAGGTCAGTAATAGCATGGATTTTAGCTATCTAATCTTCTCTGAAAATTTAAAACTTCATGAGGATGACTGCATGCTTTGTAGCTTTATGTTTTAGCACTTCTGAGAAGCCAAAGCTTTGAAGCTTTTTTGTTGGTACAAAACCTGGACTGAAAGAAATTATAGCCGAAGATGGAAGAGAGCACTAAGATACCTAGCATATAACGAGTGGCTTGGTGTTGACCAATCCTTCCTGGGATGGTTGTGTGGTTTGCCTTCATTAATCCAAGTGTTGTCAGTGAGTTCTTAGAAGTGTTTCAGCCGGAGAACTACGGAGGACCTATGTTGAAAACGAAAACACATCCTTAGTGAGCTAGCTTACGTCGTCACCTTCCAAATACCAGAAAAGGATAAGTGAAAATGTGTGAGTACTTGGCTACATGCACAAATGAAGGGCATCATCACTCTTATTAGGAGGGATAATCATTCTAAAGATTGATACAACATTAAATTTAACATAACCCATTAACTTAAATTTTTGAGTTGGTTGATGATTTAACTTGGTATCAGAGTAGGGGGTCATGTGGTTTGAAGCCCATTAATTTCATTTCTCCTCCCCAATTAATATCCATTTCCACTTGTTGACCTTCCACAATTTCTAAGGTGGGCAAGTGTTAAGGTATTAATATACATTAAATATATCGTAGCTTATTTGATAAACTTTTGGGTTGATTGGTGATTTAACCATTTTGGTTGGCTTTGATATAAATACCTACTAATTTTGTGTAAGTTATCAACAAATCCGGACTTGGCAAGGCTTCCATACCTCAATGCCGGCCCCCAAAAACACCTTTGAAGATTTGAATATTATACTGAAAGGCAATGAAATTGTCCAGCCATCATCAACCTAATAGACAAAGTTCACAGGAAGAAGAAGATCCTCAATTGAGGCTGGAACCTAAACTTTTAATGAAGACATAATTCTCTTGCCACGACTGTTCTCTAAAAAAATTGATGTGATTCTGTTATTTCATCCAACTCAGACTGGTGCAGTTGTTTATCTTCAAAATATTCTAAATGTACCTTCCTCTTCAAGAATAAGTCTTCTCAGCGTCTCTGAGCTTACTCATGGAAATTTTCTCAGCCTATCAGAGCTTACTCATGAGAATTCTGTCACCCACTGAATCACTTTGACGAGAGAAAGCTAGAGAAGGTGTAATTGGAATAGGGGTCTGATGGAGCGCTCCATCAATTTAAATTGACCCTTGTCAGTCAGTTACACTTGTCTCATGCCTGTTGTGTTCATTTTTTTTTTTATAAGATGACGAAAATAAAATGCATGTCAGCAAGGTATGGTCATGGATCTAGCTGTCTTAGTTTAGATTTTTGCAAGGCTTTCTTGAGTAAATTCCATGGCTTACCTTTTTCTTTTGCAAAATCGTACACAAATCCAAATTGATGCACTCGACATTTCGGGGCGTGCTTCTGTACTTTCTATTGTTGGATTTCACTATTACGCCTGTTTAGTTGATGATTACACTAAACTATCATGATTCAATCCTCTTTAAAATAAGAGTGGGCCTTCATCCATACAATTCAAAAACATCATAGATAACAAGTTTAACTATGTACCATCATATGTCTATAATCCTTTATTCAATGCTTTTGAAGATTGTTTGGACGTTCAGTATTAGTTTGAACCCAAATAAAGGTGCAGAATATGGAGTAGGTGGTGGTTCATCCTCCTTCCCTTCCACAATAATGGGTTAGATTCTTTAAGTAGGCAGCTCTCTTAAGTTCAGTTCAATACTCGATGACTCTTGACATTTAGAACACTTTTCAGTGTCTACTGTCTTCTGTGAGATTGGAGTAGCTTGTTACTCTAAGGCTCAATTAGTGAAAATTGCATATATATTACCAAGGTATCATCTCATTAGGACTTAATTTTAACATCACAAGTTTTATCAAATGACAGGACTATTTGGCAACACCTGCAACGACAGACCTGGCATATTGTGTGATCTTGGAACACACAATTGCAGAGAGGGAACGAAGGTAACCAAACTTGTTGATCATGTTGGTTTCAAGGAGACTCATGAATTTTCTTTTTTGCATAAGATGGTGAATTCTAATGCTTGCTTTAATTTCTTCACATTCTTTGAAGGAAGATGGTTCTGTACCATATAGCATATTCTTTTTATCCTTCTTAATTATCAGCAAATGGTTCATAGAATCTGTATCTTTTTTTTATAAAACCATCTTTTGACAATTACAACTGTTGATAGTAATGCCCCATGACTCAGAGCCAACTTTCAACTATTTCTTAGAGACATTATTGGTTCTGTGGATAAAGAGTATTATGATACATGTATACATGTATTTTCAACCTTCTTGTATGAGCGTATGTTGAAACCACGATATGTTCTTACTCAAAATGAGGGAGGGAGAGTTATTTGATTAGCTGAAGGGAAAGAACCCTAAAGAATTGCCTCAACCCTAGAGAATCCAAGAGCTATTGTATCTCTCTCATTACAACTAGCTGATACCCAGATCTTTGTGAAGAAGATTTAGTTTAACTGTATTCACTAGAGGGAAAATGTTTTTCATAAAAGAATAAAAGTAGAAGGCAAATCATTTGTATTCTGCTATTATTATTATTTACTCGTCAACAGGAGCAATTATAATATTTGGAAATTCGAGACAGGAAATACTTTTGATTTATGCTTGAATTCTGAGAAGGAATTACATCAATATCCTATATTCTTGTTTTGAATAATCGTTGGTGCTAATGCTAACTAACGCATTGCACATTTGACTAGTCTCACTGAACAGTTGTATGATTCCTGTAACCCTTGACATTAGAAACTCGTGTGATATGATATGTTAAGCAGGTGCCTATAAGGATGGAGCTATGACCTCAGAAACATTTTGGTTTGTAAATTGTCTTTGATTGTTCACGAACCCATTATCCTATATGCTTGATTACCCGCTAGTAATTGTTGGGTAGAAAAAGTTAAATCCTTATTATTCACAATGTGTTAATTTTTCTTGCATTTCCTGTGTTGTCGTTATACAACTCATTTTTCTTTTTGTGCATCCAGCCCAGCTGTAGTTGCAAGGTCGGTGGCACTTTTGAAACGCTACCTTCTTAGGTATGTTTGTCAAATCATCTTATATTTCTGTTGTACCCATATAATTGTTGAACTGGGTTGAATGTCTTCGTGATGGACTTCATTCTCCTTCAATATGGACCATTCGATCTTTTAGTTCAATATTTACTTCTCATGTCACAGGGGTTGTTCTATTGAACCGGAATACGTTCACTACAGTTACTCACTGTGCACATAATGCAATATAACTTCTTATTAACTCAAATCATCATGTTCTTCTTCTATAACATGAATTTACTTTTTTCTCCACTCCTTTTGATTCCCATGTCACAGGCTATTGATTCCCATGTTACAGGCTACAGTTACTCTCTCTCTCTCTCTCTCTCTCTCTCTCACACACACACACACACACACAGAGGCTACAGTTACCGGTCTCCTTGTAAAGATCAAATGATTTTACTGCTCTTGGATGCTCTTTTCTGGAATCCTCACATGCCTTTTCCCGACTACAAATTCGTTAGATGGCTGTTTTTGCTGTTCCCTGATACAACTTTGTGTTATGCTTTGTTTTTGCAGATACAAACCCTCTGAAGAAACATTAATGCAGATAGACCGGTTTTGCTTAAACACGATTGGCGAGTGTAGTTTTAGTCCAAACCGAAGGTCGTCACCATGGACTCACTCTTTAAGTCAAGCATCTGCTGCGACTACAACCCCTTCTACTTTTTCACCATTGCCTGTATCAAGTATTGCCTCTGGAGCACTTCTAAAATCACTGAAATATGTTCGCTCCTTGGTGGCACAACACATACCAAGGAGATCGTTTCAACCAGCTGCTTTTGCTGGTGCACCTTCTATGTCAAGACAGCCGCTTCCTGCACTGTCATCTATGCTGAGTAGATCCTTCAATTCACAATTAAATGCTGCAAGTACTGGAGAATCTTCAGAACATAAAGACTCTACTGTTTTATCCATATCAAATTTATCTAACATTGAAGAAGTTGATGGTATGGTCGATCTTGAATACATTGCACATGATGCACTGAAATGGCGATGGCTTGGGGAACTACGGTCATCTTTTTTGCAAAGAGAGGGGTAATTAACTTTTCTAACAACCTTCATTTTAGTTTTTCCTTTTATGCATGCAGTAGTACAAAGTAGTTTGCTTATTTTGCATTAGTTAAGTTAAATGCTGGCTCTTTTTGATGGTACAGTGATAGTTTTGTTAATACTCAAGACTTGAGAACACGTAATCTTCTAGAGGTAGGTGCAGCAGCACTTTTAGTGGGAGATACAGAAGCCAAAGTGAAGGATCAACCTTGGAAATCTTTGGGAACAACTGATATGCCATATGTTGATCAACTATTGCAGCCTTCGCCAGTAGCGACTATAACCAATTCTTCCTCTGCTCGTCTCCACCTGAGGGCTATAACTGCATCAAAGCGCACAAAACCAGACTTGCATCAGATTTGGTACAGCCTTTCATTTACCAATTCTTATCTTCTTTATGCTTGCTAGTCTCTACTTAAAAGATAATCTAGAGAAAGGACTGGCTAAACTTTCTCTCTGCTTCCCCTTTTGGATCTTAGTTTCCTTCCTAATTACTATTTTGTTGCATTTGGGTCCTTGCTGCCATGTCATTTTGCAACAAAAAATTGTGGTATTTAATAGAAATGACATAGTTATTGTGACTAAGTGTAATACTGAGGATTTATTGTTAAAATGTTGGGTGAAAAATCTAACTTAGACAAAAAATGGTTATATGGTCAAAAAATGGTTATATGGTCAAAAAATGGTTATATGGTTACATATGCTGTAGTTTAGGAACCTAAGATATCATTAACTAAATTATTAGAATATACTGTCTTTTTCACCAAATGATAGGGAACCTGGTAGGGTGATTAATTCAAAGAACCCTGAACAAGTGTTTTGATGAATTTTTGTTTTACAAACCAAATGTTGGTCTTTGTTGAGATGCAAGAGCTGTGTCCAGAAACTAAATGGTCAGGTGGGGAATACAATGCATGTCAACCGGAAGGATTTCCATTCTGTGGGTTTTGCTTTCTGTTGTGCTCCATATTAAGGTTGTTGGATAGTATACAATATTGAATAGCAAAGTTGTTAAAAGGAATACAAACCGAAATACTTTAGACTGCCAAACCCCCCATCCCTTACCCAAAAATAAATAAATAAATAAAATAAAATAAAATAAAAAAACAATATATATAAGGCATAAATGTCCTTGTTCTTGCAGAAAAGTCCAGGCTTAAGCTGCATCCATCATTAGGATCTGTAAACAAAAATCAAAATTCATATTTATTAACTTTATATCAGATGTCCAATAATAGCTACCAACCAAATTATTTCTCCAAATCATGCTAAAATAAAGGTTAACTTTTATAAATTTGCTCTTGATGATTTCATAATGTCTTTTAGGGAAGATTCTCCTGGGAGTACATTTCGACCAAAGGCCCGACCACTTTTCCAATATCGTTACTACAGGTACAAAAAATAGATTCTGATATGGAACTCTGTAAGTTCATAACGCATAGATATTGATAAAGCTAGTACTTGTTTATCAAGTGAAGAGTAATTCCCATTTAAAATTATGAAATTGATCATCATAGCTTAAATGGATTTATTAATATATGGTGGTCTCGCTGTTATGAAAAATTACTGGTCTCGTTTTCATGCAATATGGGAAACTTGCATTTTGAATTATTACTTTAAGGTTTTTCCTTTCTGTTGGATACTTAACAACTTATAGGCTTTTGATGCATGATCTATGATGTTATTGAACTGGTAGGCTTGGAGTTATCATATCGTAGTGACCATTTCACACAATTTCTTTTCATTTTTTGAAGGTATAGACTTTGGCATGTAATATTGATTTCAGATACTGGTTAAATTGAGGTGCTGAGTAAACATGTATGCCTGTAATATTTTTTCTTTTCTTAAGTACAAATTAACATGCGGCTTTGACATGCAATAAAATAAAAAAATTGTAAGGTAACCTTGCTCTTAAAAAGTTAAAAGACTAGAACTCAACAAGAAGTTTTTATTAATCAAGTTCATATTATCTTGTGGTTGCATCTGTATCTCACAAAATTAACTTCATGCCCATCAGTGAACAGCAGCCTTTGAGACTGAATCCTGCTGAGGTGTGCGAGGTTATTGCTGCAGTTTGCTCTGAAATGTCTTCACCCATCGCTAATCCCCTTACAGTAACTTCTAGGTTAAGTACAAATAGTGGGAAGCCATCGATGGATGTGGCCGTGAGCGTTCTCGTAAAACTCATTATTGACATGTAAGTTTGTCCCTTTAGATGCTTGACTTACACTGAATGTTTCAAATTTCATCTACTATTCATCACTCTCTTTCATTTCAACCTGTTTGCGTTTATGTTTTTGTTACTCTCTCATACAATTTACTTGTGTGAGGTTGTTAGGTTTAATGCTTTGGTTGGCTTGTTTCTATGCCCTTTTTTGGGTATATAGCTTGAAAGCAATTATATGCTTTTTAGAGGAGCTGACACATTTGAGAGCGAGTTATGGGAGATTTTAGGTTTAATGCTTCGCTGTGGGCCTTGGAGACTAACATGTTCGTAATTGTCCACTAAGTTTCATTTTTTTTTTTTTGGATTAATGTCCTTTCTTGTAGTTATTTGCACTCCTTTTTCTTGGGTTTTTTCCCCTTGATGAAAGCTTGGTTTCTTATACCTAATTCAATGCACTTGTGTGCAAAACACATTTTGGCATTATGCACCAAACAAACTTGTGTTATAGATGTTAAAATTGAGAACTAGTTGTTGTTCCAAAGTTGATGCTGAAATGCCTTTTTCAACTAGGGCACTGATATGGTTTACTCATGTTAAGTAAGATAAACACTATGAATGTGATAACTTTTTCGATATCATGCCTCTTTGGGTCTCCTTTCTTAAAGACTTATGTAATTATCTTTTAGTTTTTTTTTTTTCCTTTTTTATTTTGCTTCACTGGAGCCCTTCCTTAGGTTAATTGGGCTTTTCTTGGAGTGTTTTTTATTCCCCTTGTTTCCTTTATCATTTTTAATGAAATTTGGATTTTTTAAACAAAAAATGGACATCTGAATTTATTTTGCCATCTTTTTCATTTGTTCTGATCCAAATTCTTAGCTATAGCAATGTGCGCCATTTTCTTATATATTGAGATGATGTTATTCAAGATATAAACAATCTGATAGATCGGACTATTATCTGTCTTTGAGGAATGTAATGATAATCTTAATCCAAGTTTATCTGTATTTCTTAAGTTCAAGGCTTTGAAAATAATTTTTATTGAGTCAATTGATGTTACAATATATTTTCTGATCTTGAAGGATTACTGAATGTATTATGATGTCTTTATTTATTTATTTTGTTCAATGTTTTCTATATGTCTTTTCTATGCTTTCATTTTTTGAATTTTTCATGCATGAATGAAGTTATTCAATAATTTCTCTTACAGGTATGTTTTGGATTCTGGGATTGCTGCACCTCTCACTTTATCCATGCTTGAGGTGATGTTCTGGATTGATTTATCATTCTAAATTATCCCAATAGCATATTTTCCTACGTTTAAGGTTTTTTTTAACATTATTATTGTTTTTTATTTTTCCTTAAAAGGAAATGCTTAGTTCTCCAAGATCAACCTGCAGAGTTCGTGCATTTGATTTAATCTTGAACCTTGGCGTTCATGCTCACTTGTTAGAACCAATCGCACTGGATGACAGTTCTGCAATTGAAGAAGAGTATTCTCAAGAATCATATCTTGCGGAAGAAACCCAATTTAATTCACAGGGGAAGAAAAATCCTGATTCTCCTAACAATATCAGTGCAACTTCATCTATTAACAAATTCGAATGTTGGATTCTTAACATCTTGTATGAGATACTGCTTCTTCTTGTCCAAGTATGTATGATATTTCATTCTTTTGCGAAAATTTTCCTTCTTCTAATCAGTAGTGCTCAGTCAAGAAGTACATAAAATTATTTTCATTTGGAAAATATTGCCAGAGGCTCCAAGAAAAAAAAGTAGGTGCTTTCTCAGATGCAATACTATCCATTCTTTTGGGAAATTTGGCTTGAATGAAAGAAACAGAATTTTTAATGGGGAGAATAGGAGCGCGGACACTTTATGGGAGAAATGCTTATTGATTCTTCCTCTTGGAGTTCTTTATGTAAACTATATTTATAATTACAATTTACAATGTCTTCCATTACGGCCAACTCAAGATTATTTTATAACGCCCATGGCATTTTGTTTCTATGTCTATTTCAATGAAATAATACATAAACATATAAGTTTTTATCATAATGTGTACAACTTATTAAATGAGTTCTACCAAGCTGACCGACAGTTCATGTTGAATTCTTACTCCCATGAATTATCTTGTTAGAAAAATGCATCCTGGTTGTTGCACTACGGTGTTGCATGGGTGATCCATATATGTAGCTTCCTGTTATGGGCTAGAGCACAGCTTGATTGAGATTACATTTTAGCAGATGATTAGTCATGAGTAATTGAATCAGTGACTGAATAAGGTAGGTTATGAACTTAACGTTAACTCAGCTCATGACTTAATTGGCAGGGAATGGTTTGGGCAATTTGTGTGAAGGTTATTTCTTAGAAAGAACTGTGATTGTATGAAGAACACAAATAATGGATGATACAAAATCTTAATGGAAGATGTGTAACTATAATAGTTCAATGGATGTTTACTATTTTGTCAATTTCTAAAACATCTATTTTATGATTGCAGATTGAAGAGAAGGAAGAATCTGTCTGGACATCTGCTTTGAGCTGTTTACTTTATTTTGTTTGTGACAGAGGCAGACTCAGGAGAAGCCGACTAAAGGGTCTTGACATAAGGGTGAGTTGTTTGCTAACTTGCCTCAAAGATATTGCAGTCAAACAAAAAACATTGGGGGGGGGGGGGG